GGGGGGGGGGGGGGGGGGGGGGGGGGGGGGGGGGTTAAAGAAGGATCGGGCTTCATGATGTAATTCTTCCGGATGGAGTCGGGTTTTGATTCGGGTCCACTTGCTTTCAACTGGACTTGGCGGCTCCGCTTACCAAGCGATTACTGTAATTGCTCGAGGCGGGCGGCGTGATTGGTTTGGCCGCCGTGACGGTTGATCTGCGTGGGTTGATTATAAATAAGGGTCGACAGGGTTGCATCACAGGGGCAAGAGGGAGGGATGGTAATGCAAGCGACGACGACGGTTGTCCGGGTTTCACATTTCGATTGCTGAAGCGGCTTGCGCTTGGGTTATCTGAACGACAGACGGGAAACGCGCTATGTGCGGGGTTTATAAAGATGTACATTATTGCTAACTAACATGTTTCCAGATAGTTCCATCTTTAAACAGCGACGGAGCCAATGTATAAACAAGACAACAGACAAAAAAAAAAAAAAAAACAAAAAAAAAAAAAAAAAGAAAAAAAAAAAAAAAAGGCAGATAATGTATATCTTATATCAAGGTTTTCGGCAAGTGCCTGTCTCCTCCAATTGCACACTTTCTATTCCTCAAAACGCACTTTAGGTTGAAACAGGGTAAAACCAAATACATGTACCAAGCACACCATAGTTATCCAAAATATCAACTGACATGGATGCTTTTGAGTAGCGCCGCCGGAATAGTCTTGGAACTTGGGTCCTCCGATTCCTGGCGCCTCCGCCCTGGAAAATGATGTCCGATCTATCGATGCATCCTCTTCTGGGGATGTTCGCCGGCTGCATCGTCGTCGGCGCGCCTCTTGCGTCGTGTTGGCCTGTCGGTGGCGCCGGAGGATTGTTGCGGAGCTGCAATGCGTGCTCGCTTTGCCCTGGGGGGATCCTTGGTGTCGTTGTAGTCTGGTAGTTCCCACAGGCTGCGCTTCCGCGACGCTGCCCCGGGTTCTTGCTTGATCCTGCAGGGCCCGTCTTCGTCCTCGTCCTCGTCTGGTGCTTCCTCCAGGACTCGGCCCTGCGGCGCCCGTGCCTTTGGCGTCGAGGCAACGCCGGGAGGTGTCGCCGTGTATATGGATTGGCCCAAGGACGGCGAACTTGGCCCGAGCATCATGGAGGGACTCGGCGGCTTTCCATCCACCGTGATCAGGCTCTCAGACAGCCAGTCTTCCCAAGCTTCATCTTTTAGCAAGTTTGTGCCTGACAGCCGTCTGCCTGAGCATCTGCCTTTACTGGCGGTGCCTGGAGAAGAAGCCGATTCTTCTTCTTCCTGTTCTCCATTCCCGCTCGTGCATAGAGATGGCGAGCTCGTGATGACCACCGGCGAGTTTTTGCTGCCTTGGCGCGCCGTCGTCGTCGTCCCCGTGCCGCTCTTCTTCCCCTTGCTCGTCTTCTTTTTGTGCAGCTGCTCGGTACTGGTTGATTCGTAGCCAGCGTCGATAGATGGGGATTCAAACTTCTCCCTGGCGGGCTCTTTTTCTAATTTCTCAATACCTTCGTCAATGCTGCGGAGGACTATGTCGTTATTTTTGTGTACCTCCTCAGTAGCTTCGTCACGATTCTTTTGTTTCTCTTCTTTTTTTGCGCGAGCTGCGGCAAGTTTTCTTGTCTTCTCTTCGACGCTTGCCTCCAGTTTTTGTCGATCTTTCGTGACCGTTTCCAGAGATCCTTCGGCATTTTTTTTCTTCAGGTCGGCTTCAGTTTTCTTCCGGCCGGCTTCAGTTTTCTTCAGTTCGGCTGCATCTTTTTCTTCTTCGGCTTTTGCAAGATCTCGGCGAGCCCGGTCACGCCTCCTTTTGGCGTCTTGGGCATCTTCATCCGTCTCCTCGACGGCGGCCCTGTTCTTACCTTTTGCCTTGGTGGCTTCCCTGTTTGCAACACCTCTTCCCGGTTCAGTGTGCTTTGCAGCTTGCTCTTTAGCCTTTTTCAAGTTGTTTTCAGCCGTCTCGCAGTCTTGTTTAGCCTTCTTGTACTTTTCTTCAGCCTTCCCGTACTTTTCTTCAGCCTTCCGGCACTCTTGTTCAGCCTCATTGTATGCGTCCTTGTGTATTTTTTCAACCTTCTTGGCCTTTTCAAGTTTTCCCTGGCACATGTTTAACGCACCTTGATGTTCTTTTTCTTTTGTTTTCCAGAATTGTACTGCACCATCCAGGGTGGTCCCATGCCACACTTTCTTGAGACGTGCTATGACAATGGAGGCTTCAAGGTCGCCAAGGTTATAATCGAGCGTGTTCCTGAGGCCCTCTGGCACGTCTTCATTGCGCTTCTCTCGGCACCTCGTCCTGGTCCCTTTGCCTTTTACCATGGAACCGTGTTTAGGGAGCATGTCGGCCTGCCAGAGAGTCAACTTGCAAGCTAATGAGAGAAGGTGCTCGTCCCGGTACCTCCGTCCACGTTTCAGTATGTGGCCAGGGGCCTTGTTGTCTCCTGCGTCGACCTCGTGACCGAGATAAAGTAGTCTGCGATGCTTCTCCAGAACCTCGGCCTCATTCTTTGCATCTTGCCACTCCTTGATTACGCTGCTGGCGCCTTTTCTGCCGTCCTTTTCCAAAGTCACAATATTTTTATCCTCCTTGCCAAGTGGTTTGCGAGTGTCGCCCTTGAGATACCCGCCTTCTAGAAATTCCCGCATCTCGCTTCTGCTGAAGATCTTTTCGAAGCACCACAGATGGAGGCAGAGGGCTGGTTTCAGAGGGTCAATTTTCCCAACCGACGTTGCCTCCGGATGCTCATCGAACGCAACCCTGAACCACCCTGGTGCGATTTGGGCCGAGTCGGAGGGGCAATCTTCCCACCTGCATTTATTATGGATGCCTTTCATGCGATCTGTGGCTTGGCATGGGGGGCTCTGAAGCCACATGATGAACTGGGGTTTCCCCGTGTCTTCCGAGGACTTTTTGTCATCGAGGGCGTGTTCCTCCCGTTTATATTTCACGTATTCCCTGATTTGCTTAGAGTTAAAAGACGAACCCTCCAGCTGCCCTTCTTGGTTGTACTGGAACTGCATCTTCCCCATTGCTCTTGGCTTGCAGAAGTCTTGCAAATTTATACCTTGTTGACGAAGATATTGTCGAAAACTTGGATAGACGTTTTCTGGCTTAGTATTAGGCTTCTTCTTTTTCTTGGAATCGCGGTCGTTGCAACACTGCCCGTATTTTCTGCCATCAGGCTCTCCAACCTCTTCCTCTCGAAACTTTTCGTCGAGCTTTTCTTCCTCGTCTGGGCTAGGGTTTTGGAGTTTTCCGTCCTCGCCATCATAGTCTATATCATCATTGATGGTCCTACCATGCTTGTCGCTGTCGTGGTCCTCGTATTCGTCGTTGTCGAGGTCCTCGTTGTTGTAGAGGTCCTCGTCGTTGTAGAGGTCCTCGTCGTTGCAGTCTTCATTGGTATTCGAGTCTGGTACGCCATGACTTGTAGCAGGCTGTGAAGTTTTCGAAATGCCTTGACGACGACGTGCCCGTTGCGAAGACGGGGCCGCACCAACGGTCGTGGCACCAAGAGCTTGGTGGCTTGCAACCGGGCCACCGTACGCTTCATCGATATTATGACCTGCGCTTGCGTCGGTGCTGTAAAACATGTCATCTCGGCCGTCGAGGCTTGGCTGGTATCCGGTAGAAGCGCATTGGGTTGGAGTAAACGCCTGCATTCCGCGCAACAGCATCTGGGAGTGCTGCCTCAACGATTGCCCGCGAGCTTGGCCGCCGAGGTTGCCCATGTTTACGGTAGCGTTATTAGCTTGTAGGCCCTGAATTGGGTTGGCCAGTGCCGCGGGAGACGAGTAGGGGTTCGGGGCGTATAGAATATTCTGAGGCTGTGGCTCCATGCCAAGATGCATGTTCGGGTCGTTGCCCATGTGATAGCCGCCGTAGCCGCTATAGTTGGCGTCGACTTGGAGCTGTTGCTGTCCAGAACCATGGATATCAAGGGCTATATTTGGCCTGCGTCCCGGGGGCGCCATGGCGCCAGTATTACTCGTCATGCTGGCTGCGTTGAAAGGCGGCCCTGGGGTGTTTGACCTTGCGTGGCCGGTGTTGATATTCTGTGCGGCATGGTGACGCCTGGGGCTATTATAGTCGTCCATGGCTAGAACTTTTGGTCGTATGGATTGAACATTGTGCCAAGAAAAAGTCGAGGCTGGGGATGGACCATTTTTATAAGAGTGAGTGGAAAGGGGACCGGGAGCGGAAAGTACGATTTGATCACGGCAAGAGACTGAGAGAAAGAGATTTACAGCACCTCTATGCACTTCTTGCTCTTGTTCTATCTCACAAACAGTCGCCCAAAGGGCATTGCGTCTCTTTCGCCGCGTACAAAGGCTGCGGCTTGCTGGATTATCCTCCCTGAACAAGTCCACTGTTAACCAAGGCCCTCTATGTTCGCCTTCCGTGAACGCTGCCTACCAAGACACTTTGAACTTTTATGTGTGCTCAAGGTGACTTTGTTGGGCTTTCAATCCACCTATGGACTTGATTCCGCCCATTCAGTGAGGGAGAGGGGGAATGAAGCCTACAGTTACCGAGCTCGGGGTACGCGATTTGAACATGTCATCTCTGAACCGATTGGTTTTCATGAATCTCATTTATTCGAGAGCTCACGCCTTCACACCATGGCAGAAAGAAATTCCTAGTATTCGTGAATGCCTGCAGAACTTTGTTTGGCACAACGTAGCATCACTGGCAAGAAGCATCATTGACTGCTGGAGGTGTGGCGAGCGTCGCCATCGCTCGACGAGACTGGGCAACGCGTCCGAAATCTCCCTGGCTTTTTCATCAGACGCAGGAGTTCAATCAAGGACCCAAGAGCTGCATCCATGGCAAATGTCTTGGGGAGAAGGCTGAAAAGAAGGCCATGTCGCTGGCAACTTTGGACGCTGCCGGTCGGGTTTGATCCCCAGAACAAGAACAATGAACCAGAAAGCGGAAAGCATACAAGAATATGGCATGAAGATGTTCAAAGGTGAAGTGTTGAAAGGTCCGCGGCCCCAAAGCCCTTTACGCCATCAAACAATGCAGGTTTGCCCTGCTCCGTTTGAGCCATTCGACTGTTGCCCAACTCAGCCACGGCGAGAACCATCCAAGAAGAAGTTCAAGAGAGTCCGCAGCATCAAAAGCGACGGTTGACATCTGCAGCAGGCAAGTCACCTGCGGTTTTTCCTATTCGATGGATCAACGCGGCATGGCCTGCGTCAACATTGGAGGGCCGTCGTTGAAATACGTCTTTATTCCACGGACTCGTACCTGCCTCGGGAGAACTATCTACCACGCCCATGTCATTTGAGCATTATGCGCTTGATTTTGCGTCGGTAATCACTTTTGCTTCATATTAAGCTTTGACGTTGAACACCAAGCGTACATGGTCGGACGCATTTCCTAGCCTATGTTGCGCACATTGCGCCAACAGACAAAAGCTCAATTCAAGGTGAGAGCCAAAAATCTTCATTGGGCCCGGCCCTTTGCTCGATCCCTGCCTTTCTCTATTCATTCCTTTAAGGGTTTGTGACACGGTAGCTAAAGGGCGCGGCGTTTTGTACAGGTGGACACTTGCTCAAAGAACAATTGGGATGCTTTGACCTGAGAGCCGTCCAAGGGATCAAAAGAAAATATCGGAGCCACCAACGATTTCCCCTGGGTGTGAGAAACGGCTCTGCCAAGTCGACACACTATTTGAACAGCGATGCCTTGCTTGCAACCTGTTGACTTGGCTGTTGTCTGAATTCGACATTGCTGACCAGTTGGCGATGTTGCTGTGATTGTCATCTCTGCCTTGGAGCACTTGTGCTATGCTGCGTTTTAAGTGGTAAATGAAGGCTGTACGAATAATTCAGCTCATAAGCAGTTCAAGGAATGCGGCATATTCATTGATACGCAGTATACTGAGGTTAGCCCATATGGACCTTTGCTATGGTTGCTGAAGTAGGAAGCACTGGTCTCGATCGTGTCGTTACCTAGACTCTTCGAAACACAGGCCCGACGAGAAACTCAATGTTTCAAGTTCAGAAGCCCAAGAGGATTGGGATCTCAAATCGGACGTCAGTGCGCTATTTCTACCCATGTTTTCGAGTATTCGGCACAACGATGGTTCGATCGGAACACTAGCAAGATACCACCCGACACTTCCAATTGTAGCGCTTAGAGACTCAGCACACTGGATTCATTGATCACTGCAAATACTCCACTGACTGCGCTTGTACCCATCACAGGTTTGCATATTGCCATGTCCGTAGTTGTCGGCAAGGAAGCTCTGTAGCGCCAAGTCAGTCACTGGGAATTTCCGAAGAACCGACACGCGATTCAAGGACTGGCCTGTAGCTTTCTTTCTTTAGGGTTAACATGACCTCGTTGGTCTATCTGCAGGTTGCCATGGATGGCACCGTATTCTCACCACAGCACATGGGTCGTCCATACAGAATGTGAATGAAACGGAACTTCCACGAGTCTCGGGCAAGAAACAATGGAGACGTGCGAGAATCTTATTTCTTGTCCTTTTAAGCATACACCTATTGCGGGACGAACCGAAATTGCTGATAATAACAGACACAGGTGTTGGACACGAGGCTCGGAGGTGTACAGGCACTTCCAAAACTGGAACGTGGCGGAGGCTCAGCCGCAATCTCTTTCAAGCCCACGCGCGCTAGGGATTCGGGGACAATGCAGTCGATCCCAGGATTTGTTTAACCGATTCGATGGTCAGTCGCTTGCGGCGCTAAATGTGCGCCCCGTGAACCGCGGGTTGATGGGCGGATGTCGAGCTCAGCACTAAGCCACCGGTTCCTCCTTTGTGACTACCATAGACGACCCATGAAAGAATTTGTGTCATCATATGGTGTCTGGTTAGAACAGGCCTTGGCGCTTAGTGCTGCCAGACGCGAGGGCAGTGCTATGTTGTCTTGATATTTGCAGACCCCGTCGAAGCCCCTGGCTCCTTGATGCCGCTCTTTGGAGACTGACAAGGCGGAACCAGACAGTTTAGCAATCCTCGCTTCCATCATATTCTCGTTTCATACCAACGGCTCTTTCCGTTGCCGAGTTTGGAACTGGGGGTGGCCTCCTGACACAGCGGCCCGTGCTAGCCGCCCGCGCCACCCTCATGGAGACGGGAAACCCTGGAAAGGAGCCATTGTGCAATCAATTCATAGTCGCGTTTAGGCCACAGTTAAGCAGGTAAGAAGGTGTTGGTCTGTGGTGGTGGCCATGTGGTGGCCTCGGGCGGCAGAAAGGTCTCTGGCAACGGCCACAGGTAGAGCAGCAGGGGTTGGAACACACATTGATTGCGATTGACATTGATAGGAGAAGAAAGTCATGGATTTCAAGGGTCACACATCGCCATGTTGCGACCTATAGCATAGGAGGCAGTCTGCTATCTGCGTGTCTGTTAACCTCCTACCATATCAGCAGGACCAAGTCCAGGCAGACCATCTTCAACTGGCGCACGATACGGCCAGCTTCGTAAAGAAGAAGCGTAATGGTGAAGAGCTTTCATTCAAAATGCCATCGGGCTTGCACAGCCGCCAGCGCAGGTCATCTCGCGTCCGGTCCCGTTGCTAGTTCGTCGTTCATTAGAAGCCACCAACGGAGCGCAATGACATTGCCTACCATATAGTACAAATACTTGGCGTCTTTCCCCACTACTGGTTTGGTTAAGGCATGAATTTTATCTTTTCAGTCATCTCCGATGACCTTATCCGCTGGCAGAACGTTGAAGGTCAGGCCTAGGTACTTCCATCTGGGCGATGTAGGTAGTGGGATCAGACACTCGATGGGAATGACTGTCAAGTAGTTGAATCATCGGTCGTTGGTAGTAAACACATGCGACAATGTGCATTTCTTGCCACGTCCTTGGAGAGGTAGCGCCTTGCCGTCCAGCTAGTTCCCAACTTGTTCTCTCACAAAACACCAGACATGTCATCGCAACATGTCTCAGACCCAGTCTCTCCGGAAGCAGAGGTTCATCATCACTGTCGTGCTCATCTCCCCCAAAGCACATGCTGCCAAACAGAGACCGAAAACTACCAGAGCAACATGTCATTGAAGGGGAAATCAAAAACTGCATAAGCATGTGGTAGTCTGCGGCCCTAGTTTTGCGTCCCCGTCAGCCTTGGCCCATGGCTCCCTCGCGCGCATCTGGCCATGCTGACAGGACATGATCCATGATACTAGTCCGACAAGGCCTCCGCCGCAAGCGTGGCCGGCGGGATCGGGGACCCATGTAAGTGACCATGGTAGTTGTCATGTTGAAACGGGCTGTCGATCCTGTCGAGCCCACGGGTTGCCAGTGTCCGTGTTTTCCCAAGTGTCGAGTGCTCAACTTTGCTCCATTCTTCATCAACTAGCTATCTCATCTGCAAAAACGCGCAACAGCTCACCTCAGCGCCAGCAAAAACCCGTCTCGAACATTGCATAACACGCGTAGCCACCAACCAACAAAGATTGCAAGTGGTCGTCCAAACACTTCAAATGGGCGACGACCTCAACCCGTCCAACTCAAGGCCAACGTGTGGTACCACGGTCCGTCCGCCTAGCTCTTCCCCCCCAAAAACACAAACCTCCCAACCCCCCCAGCAGCGACAGAAGGCCGCGTAGACAGCCACGGCAAGGCCACGTTCGAATCCATGCTCCAGAACGTCGACGAGGCCAAGAACAACGGCGACAAGCTCGCCTCTGGGTCAACGTCACGCCCGCCCAGCACTGGCAGTTCATGCCCGCGAACCCCGGCACGCCGTGCGCTCCTCGGTGCGCGGCATCAAGAAACAGCTCACGACGTGCCTCGACAGGGACGAGATTGACGAGCAGCGCACGCAGCCGTGTCTGCTGCCGACTCCCAGATGTGGGATATCACCATGTGGCCCGGCAGCAACAGCACCTACCGCCTGCAGAACGTCCGCAACGGCACCAGCTTCAACATGGACGTGCACATCGGGAACCCGCCGTTTATGAGCAGCGACACCCGACACGAGGAACTACCAGAAGCCGCAGCGCTGGCTGACGACGAGCGTGTCCGACATCAACGACGGCGCGTACTCGACCACCTTCACCGACGTAGGTGCTCTTCGTCATGGCAACGAACTGGAGACGTGCGCTGACCGCAGCAAGATTCCCGCATCAACCGTCACGAGGACCCTCCACTTGACAGCCCAACCGCCGCCCCCAGCATATCCTCTTCGAGCGGTCTGTCGTCCAGTGCCGCCGCGGGCATTGGCGTCGGCGTCGCGCTGGGTGTCATTATCCTTGCAGCAGCGGGCTTCCTCGGCTGGAGACTCGCAGACGAGGCACTTCCAGAGTGAAGCATTCGCTCATCAATGGAGTGGGCAAACGTCCAAATAGCAACACAGGTCAAACCCCAGGCTCGCAGTCGCCATACTATGATGCGAAGACGAATGATCAGGCTCATGAGGTGATGCCCACTCCGGCGCCGCAAGAAGTACCCGGGCAAATACACTTCGTGCTGGATGCCATGTTGGCTGCCACACTGACGGTGGGACAGTCTTGTTGATAGACATCAACGTTTCAAATATGCCGTCTCAACAAACCGAGATGAAAATGGTGCCGAGCCATCAAGGATGGGCTGGGTTGAAGGGTGGCACAAATGGAAGATACCTGAGGGATGATGGATTTGCTGTGGCAATTCTGCTTGTATTTTCCTTTTCGACGTTTCGGTTAGCGCGAGTCCCAGTGCATAAACATACACGGCTTTGCATAGATGTACACATAATTTACAAGTTAAAAACAGCGTCTACGCTGGTATTGTATATTCATGTTGGTGTAGCGCTTTCCCATGCCTATACAAGTCAAACCAAGGTCCATTTATGTTTGCCCAAAGCATATTCATAATCCAGAAACATGAAGGCAGCAGGAAAGAAAAATAAAAAAAGGGGCTTACATCACAACCCATGCGGTATACAACACCCTCGCGCCGTTGCCTCGCTTCACACATGTGGTCTACCGGGTTTCGCAGTAATTAGGCGGAGCTCGAGACCACAGTCATACTTTTTCCCTTTGTATGGTCGTCATCTAGAGCCCATATCTCCAGCAAGATTCATGTGCATAATTGCATCGGCCGTCCAGTCCGTCTCGTCATCCTCTCCCTGGGGGGTGTCCCAAAATTGAAACCCTTCCCTACCGTCCACACCCGGTAGGACCATTCGTTTTTTTGAGGCGTTGGGCTGGTCCTGACTTCTTGATGAGTCCGGCTTCGGCCCAACAGCTGGAGCCTGGTCATCCTTATAGGCCGCCTCACTATTCCGCTGTGCATCGTCAAAATATCCAGGCTGCCCCGCCGAGTTGCGGCTTAAAGTTCCTTGACTATGAGTATCCGATGATACACCCTGGGCGAATCCTGTCGGCGTCACTTGATCGTCATGCGTAACCGTTGATGCGGTGCCAGGAGCCGAAGCGGGTGGCATGTGCGCCATGCGATTCATTTGGACGTCTAGCTCCTCTTGCTCCAAGATCTGCGGTGCATGCTCGACGTTTCGTAAGCTTGATGCGCCAGCAGGTACACCTGAACTGCGGATGCTTCCTGTGGACATTCGATTGGCATCCGCAAGATCGCCAGGGCCACTGCCGCTGCCGGACTCGCCTATGGCGCCTGCGTCGAGGTCGCGAATGGCGAATTGTGCCAGTGTACGCAGCTTGCGCGTGACCCATCCAGCGAGAATCTTGCCGCGCTGCTTCTCACCGAGTCGAGAGCGAGGGAAGTCGCCTTTGCTGACAAATGCCACAATGTCGACGATGATTTGATGCTCATTCAGAATGGCATTGACGATAACAGGCACAATGGACGCCAAGTAAGGCTTTCGACTAACTTCAACCAGAACAACGACAAGGCCGCCAGCCTGGAACACAGCACTATACACTGGATTAGCAGACGAACCAAAAGAGCGTTCTTGCAAATACCCCGACTTACCAGCCACCAGGGACAATGTTCCGGTGGGAACGTTCAACCGAATACTCAATATCCATGGGGAAATGGCTGAGACCGTTGATTTCAAACGTCTCGCCAATGCTGCCTAGCACGAAGAGAACTTGCATATCAACCAAGGCTCCGCCCGGCCCGATAGGCCGGCTCACGTTGTGCAGAAAACCAAGGTCGCCCGTTCGGACGTAGGCTACTCCTGGATCACCGTCAACGGTGCGTCCATCAAATCTTTCAGCATCAAAGGCGTCTTTCGATCCGTAAAAGGACATGACACAAGCCTCGGAATCAACCCAAATCTCGCCGTATTCTCCGTCGTAGCAATGCATGCGATTCTCTGGATTTACAATTGCAATTTGTGTTGAAACCGGGACCATGCCAGAGTCTTGCACAAGCAGGGCTTTGGGCTCCGCTTCAGGGTCAACAGGGACGACCAATCCTCGTCGAAGCGCTTTAGTGTCGAGCCAGATTTCAATGGGCTCGATACACATGTACGATCTTGATGCAATCATCGGGTTCAGAACATGCGAGTACACCGTATTGATTGCTGTTCTATCAAGCCCAGATGGTGCAAAATGCATTCGCACTTTTTGGAAAACATCGACTCGAGGACGGCTGTCGGAAGTGATCATCATGTTCTTCAACTCGTGCAAGGTAAAGCCTTTCGCGTGCATTGCAGCCATGGCGTGATCCAACATCTGTGGGGTTGCGTACGTATCCTTAATCTTGTATCGTGATAATGTAACAAACAGGGACATGGGATTCTGAGCAAATTCGACAGGAGAGAGTAGGTAGGTCGGTGTGCCAATATAGATACCCATGAGACAGGTATGCACAAAACCAAGTCCCGTAGTACTTCGCACACACCCGAGAACTGGGCGTGTGCTGGTCATTTGACATGTCTCCTTCTGGACCTTGCACATTCCCATGAGGGTATCGTGTCCCAGCTGGACAGCTATTCTCCGCTGGTCTGGCGTCCAGTATGTCCAAATAACCACAGGATATCCTGGGCGAATCCACGCTGGGTCGATTGTCAAGCCCAAGTCACGCAGACCGTTATTTTGCTTGGGTGGTTTGGTGGTGTTGTAGACATTGGGAATGGCAATTTTGAGAATCTGGGCTGACTGCTTGATGTGACTCGAAACAGGCTTGAGCTTGATCAAATGATCCACCTCATGGTTGACAAGTACGGCCTTCACATTGTAATCAGCAACAATGTGGAGGAATGCGGGCACGTCCTCGTTCAAGCGATTCTGGTCCAGAGGTGCCATGGGAATGACGACGGCGCCCAGGTTGATACAAGCATGGACGGCAAAGACGAACTCCTCGGAATGTGTGTACATAAGCACCACATGGTCTCCGGGTCGTACCTTGACCTTATTCTTCAAATACATCGCGACAGCTGCGACCCTTTGATCAAACTTGCGCCAAGTGATGCCCTTGCCTTCTCTACCTCGACCATCAATCGTACAATACGAGAGCTCTTCTGGTTGACGGGCCACTCGCCACTGAATAAGATCTGTGATGCAGGAAAAATTGTTGAGTGGAGTGGATGTTCGGTCATCAATGACAACTTCCCTTCGGTCGATACCCGAATATTGTTTATCTGCTGGGGCTAGAATATTGGCTCGCGATTCGGACGCAATTTGGGACCAAATGCCGCCTATTGGGTCAACACCAATAGGCAAGTTAAGCACGGCATGCTCAACTCCAAATTTGACATGGACACAGGGTAGATTGCCCAGGTCGTATTCTCGGCGGCACAGCATGTTTCCAATCTCGCGTCTACCATTCTTGATAACACGTGGTAAAGAGTTGGGAGCAGTGATCATAACACAGTAGAGTCTGAGATGATGTTCTTCCATCAATACTTCCATGCACCTCTCGGCCAGAGAATCAAGCAACGCGGTATCGGGTTGCCGGGGAGGGCCTCCCGATGTAAGGGGAGCAGTGGACGCGGCCGCCGATTCCACTACAACCACGGGCAAGTGTTCGTCGTTGACAAAGACATCAAAGGCAGAGCAGTCATAAATCTTTGGGACATTTTTGACGATGCTCACAACCATGTGCTGCACAAAGAAGTATCGATACTCGGCTATCTCGTGGCCGTGTTCCACCCACTCCACCTTCTGCCGAATGCGATCTTCATAGAGTCCCAAAATAAAGATTTTGCCTTCGATGACGGTTCCAAGAAGGCCGGTTCGCAGAAATTCGGGTTCCACAGGGGTTGGTGTGGGTTCTCCTGGTTCAAACTTGTATGGTCGCGCGTGGAAAATAAGCTCAGTATTCTTTGGTTGAGCCCAAAACCCACCAGACAAGGAAGGCGAGTCTACCCAGATCTCACCAACCGTATGGGGAGAGGCGAGGAGACCGGTTTCTGGGTCAACAACAGCAAGGGTAGCATCTGGTATAGGATACCCAAATGTGCCGACTCTCACCATGCCCGGTTCGTTCGGCGCCTTTTTGCCCACCTCATCGCCATATGCCATAACCACTACTTCGTTTGTTTTAAGAGCCTCGCGATCTAGGAGTACCTCATTCATTTCTGTGTTACCGGCATTCTTTTCCGTTGTTGTTGTGGTGCCGCCGCCCAGCAAGCTACCAAATCCGTTTGGGGGCACGGGTTTAGCAGTTTTGCCGTCATCATCCGAATCTGACTCTGAGGTTGTCTCGTGTTCTAGCTTGAGCGGTACACCCATACGTTCTTCGCCCCCCAACCAATCTCTCACACTTACCACCATTCCGCCGTGCTCCGGAAGGCACAGCATAGGTGCAACAACCTGTCGAGCCCTGGCATTTCTAAGTGGGCGCAACCATCTGTCGGCCAAAACCTCGTGGAACTCTCCGTCAACGGTGAGGGTATCAATTAAGCAGAGTTTGACAGCCTGGAAGTTGGGTTCCATTCCCTTTTTGAAATTTCGTGTCGTCATAGGGTCTTGCTGGTAATTATATGCCGCTCGCTTCAAGCCAGGGTAGTCTGCCACCATGACTGTCGCTTTGTATCTTGAAATGAGATGCGCGTAAAGGCCGGGTACATCCACGGCTTTGTTGTCAAACCAAACAGTTGTATGGCCGCCGTAGACTGTCAACAAAACCCCAAGGATCATGCCAATACCTTGACGAGGTTCCAAATAGGAGAGCAAAATTTCGCTACCAGCCTTCCTGTTGCCAATAAGAAGGCCATTTTTATCTCTTAAGGACGGGTTGAAGGTGTCACCTGGCCCGTTGCCTGGAATCGTCGATAAAATTGCGCTCAAGCACGCCATCTGATGCATGATAGTGCGATGGCTCAGCACGACGCCTCTCAAGTCTCCAGTGGGTGCCCTAGAAAATTCAATATATGCCAAATCAGGGACTGAGAGTGCGGGTACATCTTCCTTCTTTTTAGGATGATAACTTCCAAACTCATTCGTCTTCCACCACTCGACTCCCTTTGGCCACGTCAGTTTCTGCGTCGTGATGTCTCTCTGGAATGCCTTTAGGTTGTTATCTGTCGTCAAGGCAAGGTGTGCCTGTGTCGAAGTCAGAATGTAGTTGAGTCGTTGATAGTCTTGCAAATCGTTGATTGGCACGGCAACTACGCCTGCAATGAAGCAACCCATTAAGGCAATGGCAAAATCAATGATTTCACTATCACGGTACACAAGAGCAACTCGGTCGCCACGGTACAGCGAGCTCTTATCCCTTATGACTTGAGCAACCTTTTCTGCCCTAGAGGCAAGTTTGTCCCAAGTAATGGATGCGATTTCCTTGCCCTTGCTGTCGAGGACCCAGTACGCCGGCACCTTGGCAGTAGTGCGAGCGCGGTGTCGCAAGACAGCAGCCAGGTTGTCAAAACGGGACATGGTGATGTTGGCGTCGTGTGGGTCATGAATAGCAAATGGTACCTCTCGGGGCTCAAGTGGCTGCAAATATTCTAATATTTCTGGCGGTGGAAGGTCGTTCGCCGTGAGCATGGGAGGAGCCATGGCAGCTGTGGGAGAGAAAGCCTCCCCGGATGAATACCTATGGGATGCCCCGTACTCTCCTCCAGACGGAGTCTGGTCGTAATGCTGCTGACCGGCAAAGTCCGAGAAGTAGCCTTGGGAATCCTGCAATGTTCGAGTTCTGCCATCGAATTGTGGCTGGTGGTGTAGATGGTGGTGGTGCTGTTGATGGCCTGCACCCATGTAGGCACCTTGCTGGTCTGGATTGAAAGCATAATCCCTGGATACCATCGTTCCGCTCCGAGAAGGATCGTCGCTAGATGCAGTCGCAGCCGTGATGAAAAGTGAATCGCGCTGCAGAGGAACAGAGCGCTCTGCTACGGGGCCGCCGGGGCGAAGGAGGCTGGCGGGTGGTGTCTCGGCGACTTGTGAAGTTGTTGAAGGAGCGCCGTAGCCCGAACTCGGTCGGTAAATTGGAGACCCAGGGTCAGAGCCATTTTCCCTCACTGCATTATAAGCAGAGGCTCTATGACCGTCATAAATTGAATGGGGCGGGTTGTCATCAGTTTGCTGAATTCGCAACCCGGATCGAGGCGGCGGCTCGTGGATGGTAGGTGCGAGAGCTGGCGCGCTGGGTTCGCCATAGCCATACTGAGAGAGCAATAGCGTGCGTTTCTTTTGGTAGCTAGAGGCGAGGAGAAAAATGTTAGTATGAACAGGAGATTGTGGAGGCGGTCGACATTGCCGATAGATCAGGGCATCATGGGCCATGGCATCCTGTTGGGCTCCAAGGTCCCTAGGGTCCAGGGAATGGTCAGGATTCGCTTACCCTTTCTCCGTAATGTCCCCTTCCTGTGAACGAAGACGTTTTGGTCAGCAAAATAGCATCTCCAGGGGGTAAAGGACAGATGAAGCGTCGAGGAGCGAGTCTTTGTCGCGCTTACCTCTAACTCGCGTTGCAAGTCGTCGAGTTTGGCCTGAAGCTCGGGGTGGAAATCGGCCATAGCGGGCGGAGCTCCTTGGGCCTTGCGCCGGTCGGAAAAGCTAGGATGATAGCAATTCGTCGAGTTGAAGCGACTAGTTATACATAATTTGGCGCAACGGCCATGTCCAAAAAAACGATGGTGATGCTGGATGTGCGGTTGAGCGAGTTGGTGGGTTGCGAGCCAAAAAGATCAACCGCCAGTCTCGTGACGTAGTAGGCCAGGGACGCTGACCGTTTGAGTGGAAGAGCAAGTGGCACTGCGAAGTGGCGGAAAGAAATGAGCGGGCAGGTGTGCAAGTGGTCAAACGGGCAGGAACGACTAGCGGCGTTGCTAGCCGAAGGCGGGCCCGAACCCAGTTCTTGGCTCAACAGGGAAAGGAGCGACACCAAAAACGAGGCCAAGAGGCTCGTTGGCGGCATTGACGTTTGGGCCTCGAGAACACGGGGTCCCAACCGTCTGCCGGTGTCTTTGGCGGGTTGATTGGCGGGGCTTGCAGATAGAACACGAAGACCAGACGGATGTCGGGCTCGTCACACCAACACCAACTTACGAGCCATGTCACAGGCCCGCGAACTGTTCCCGAGTCTGACACCCACGTCGTGTAGCAGCCAGAAAGCGAGAATTGGACGGAGTAATTTGTACGCTGTGCGACAACACCAGCGGATACGACACTTTCAAGTGTCTGCAGAACCATAGACTGGCCGGTTCATACTCGTCCCGAGGTCTTATTACTCCAGCATGTCTACATTGCAGCATCTGCCTACGGAGTACTGGTGCAGGCAGACAATATGGCTGTGGTTACCCCTATGCTGAGATGACCTCGTCCCATTCTATCCGCACGCCTGTTCTTATACTTAGCTCTTCTTATCCTTTCATAATATGGCATGTCTTTCCCATTGATCATCCTTCTTTCCAATGAGTCCACCCCTCCTCAACCCAAAGAAACAAATTACAGCTACTCCCGCCGCGCTAACAAAAATAGTCCAAAAGGCAGCTCGGAGGCCACCCATCAAAGCAATTCTACTGTCCTTGGAGCCTGAGTGCTCGGTTACTAACGCAGCAATAGCTGCAGTCACAGCAAGGCCGACCGAGTTTCCAAATTGTGACACCTCACCAAAAGACCCCGCCTGCTAGAGATTGCGTGTCGACAGGGAATGCATCGGATATGATGAGATTTGATGCTGTGAAGAGTACAGCATCATTGGCGCCTCAGCGTCGGATTACTTCATCGCAATAATAATGTGAAGGGAGGCAAGGCTGACGAAATAGCAATTTCATTGAACTGTCTTGGCCGAACTAATAATAAGGCTAATAAGCTGGGAATGTGCGATGCTGTGGGTATTACGTGAGGCTGAACCCTTATCACGTGACCACCCTTAATACCTCCTCTTAGCTGAGCTGTGATATTTAATATATATGAAAATCTAGTATTCGCGTTATTATTTCCTTTAATTTATTTATTTTATTTATAGTTATTACTTGTAATTTCACATATAAAATATATTATTTATTTAAATATATTAAAGTTATAGTTATTAGCGGAATTAACCGTGTTTAACTAGGCTAAGTAGCTTTATAAGTCTATTAACGTATATATCTTTTATACCTACTTATATAATACTAAAGTATTCTTCTTTAACTCTTTAAATAATCTATTTATACCATAAATTAATGTAATGAGTTCTCGCTATATTATTTTTATTAAGCGCTATAATCTTTACATTTTAACTGTTAATAAATAATATTAAAGGTTATAATTATAAATAATTAAGGTTAATAATAAGGTTATTAATCTAAAGGGTAGCTTTATTTATAAGCGTTAAATTAATAAATTTAGCCTTTATAAAGCTTAATATAATAATAGTTTACTTTTTTAATTTTTATATAATAGAATCTTTAGCTAAAAATATATTAGCCTTATACCTATAATAAGTTAATTAAGACTTTTAGTGCGTTTAAGCTAATTAATAACATTTATAATAGTTTTAAGATCCTTTTAATTAAAGGGAATATTTATATTTAAATGCTATAATAACTTTATTATAGCCTTTATATTAATATTAAACTTTTAAAGTAATTCTTTAATATAAAAGGTTTAATAAATCTTAATAGTATAATTACCTTTATTACGTTAAAATTTTAGGCTAAGAAATTATTTAACCTTACTTAATCGTTTAATTTTAAAATATTCTTTTAAAGCTATAAGAACTTTATTAATAATTTAGAGGGTTAATTCTATAATAATAATATTATTAACGTAAAGTAAAATAAGCACTTTATTATATTAAAGAAAGATATAAAGTTTCTCTTAAAGTTATTTAAAGCTTAGCTTCTTAAATTTATTATTAATATTCTTAAACTATTATATTAAAGCTATAAAAAGGCTATAAAGAGCTTAATATAATAGGTAAACTCTACCTATACTATTATTATAGCCTTAAGATTATTTAATATAAATTTCTTACCTTACTTTTAAGTTAAGAAACGTTATAATAGCATTATATTAACGCTATTTAAAGTTTAATATAACTATAATAGTGTAAAACACTTATATAAATACTAAATATAAAAATAAAGAGATTAGGTTTATTATTATAAATATTATTATTAATATACTTAACTATTAAATTAAAAAAACGTATATCTTTAAAGCTATTAATATAAGCTTATTTCTTTCTATTAGTTTAAAGAGAAAAATAATTACGTTAAGTACCTAAGCGTAAAGAGTAGTAAACTATAGATTTCTCTTATTTTATAATAATTTAAGCCTTTAACGCGAGAGAAGAGAGATTAAAGTCTTTATTTACGTTAAAAAAGTATTTATTTATTTCGCTTAATATTAAAGA